GAATATTTAATAGGAATAGTTTTGTACGCAAATCGCTTTGTAAGCGGAATACATAATCTTATAATAAACTAGCAGTAAATAATACGGCACAGCCCCAAATTCTTAAAAATTATCTCTGCATTACTAGCATGAAATATATATATATATATGCCATCATTCTAAAATAAACTTTGAAAGGGCGTTTCTGAAAAACTCGCATTCATATTGAGGCAGCACTTACCTATGAGGTAAACAATTTTTCACTTCCACATTTTGCAAAAGAGATTGCAAATAGCATTCTGTTCCTTCAAAATTGGGCATATTTTGAACTAAAGTCCAAAGTAATTCAAGCATACTCTTGTTAAGACTCCCATTTACAGGTAGACATTTCATACTATTCACCGTAGGCTATACCAACATTTACTACTTGCTGTATTGTTCCCAAAATGTACAAATACAATCTCACTTTTCATATACTGGTGTCAAATTCATAGACTCAATCAATATCAAGTTTAAGGAAAAAAATTGTCTTTTCACTATCACCATTTTCTTGCATAAACTTAACATTTTTTGTTTAAGACAGTATCACAATTTTAAACAGTATAGGTTCTTTCATGTTTTTATAGAAGTGTAATTCTGTATAATATTAATTTGCACATTTCAAAAGTACTTACTCTCTCCATTTTCAGGCTGCCCTGAAATGTTGGTCAACTTCTACAAGACGACAGAGTACAAAATCCCAGATAATTGCCATGAGAACCTAAAAGAAATTAGTAAATCTCCATGGAATGGTGAAACACATTTTTGAATCTTTCATCTGTGCAGGTAAATATGTTAATCACTAGACTTTAAAGGGTTAAAGCATCAAGAGACTGCACAACAATTTTCTTTTCACTTGTACTATAAAAATATAAAGAGAGGGGCTGGCTTCAAAGTGACAAATCTTATTCATAGTATGAAACTACATATTTATTGACACAAACCTGTTATATGTGCTGTAACTCGTGGTACCAGCACTTACATAAAAATTTAAACTAACAAACAACATAAAATCTCCTGAGATATTTGTACTTTTTCCTTATGTATACTCAAGCAGATACTAATTTGACACAACAGTGGTGTGATGAAAACCATACTGAACTTAACATTCATAAAACTAAACTTACTTTCACAACAGTATCCAATTTAATTACATCAACATTTCAGTTTTGTGTACTGACTGCATTAAGGATCTCAGTGTTATGTTAGCAAATTGCATTTTCACTACCATGTTGCCTATGCACATTCAGGGGCACTGAGAACATTAGGGCTCATCTGTTATATTACTTGTAATTTCTCTTCTCCAGACATTCTTGTTGCTTAATATGATGCTTTAGCTAGAGATAGAGTATGTTTGTCATCATTGGTTTCTCAGCTTAACATTTTACATAATGATAATTTTATTTAAACTGTTCAAATTTTAGAACACTCGATTCCAGAAGATGACACCTTAATATTTTATGTCTTATTAATGTTTTAAAGGAAAAATAAACTGCCATTCTGTCATGGACACTTGATATCCATGTTAACACACAGCAAATAACAGAATTTTATACTTTTAGCATGAGCAGTGCACTAAGACAGCTAGGTGCATCAGTGCTGCAAATGACTAATTTGGTAACAAGACCAGTGTTGAAACTGACATCATTATTTGTCCACATATAATAAATATTTCATATTCCAAATACTTCCAGAAAATATTACTGCATTATGTTCATACACATTCAATTACAGGAAGATTCCACCAAAGATGTATGATAAGATAAATTATTATTATTATTAACTCAGTACATTATCACTTACAAACAATTCAATAAATTCTGCAAAATTGGCACATAAAAGGCAAATTTATATAGCTGAGAAACAGTAAAATCTCAATGAAAGAGATCCAAAACATATAACACATTAATAAATGTTTACTGTATTTACAAACTAAAGAATTAAATATATTTTAAGTAACTAATTTGTAAAAATATTTTTTTAAATTTAATCTTTCAGAAGTGGGGCATGCATTATACCTTGGCAAATACAATAAGTTTATTTATATAAAGAAAGACAGCACTATTCAGATGATACAAGCGGGAAAGAAAGATACATTTTAAGCTTTTAACCATTAAAATAATCAGCATTTTTAAGCACTGAGAAATGGATGTTGAATATCATGGGAAAGCTGAAGGAAGATGCTTTGCTTTTACATTACATGAAAAGAGACGTCAGTATGACAGAATGTCACATACCATCAGAAAAAAATCCTGGTCTTCACATTGAAAGCTGAAGGAAGATGCTTTGCTTTTGCATTACATGAAAAGACACGTCAGTATGACAGAATGTCACATAACATCAGAAAAAAATCCTGGTTAAGCCACTGACAGCATTACAAAATTTGAAAAATGTTTCTTCTCAAGGCACATATTGGTACTACAGATGGACAGATCAGAAGCCAATGAGTGTAAGTCATTAAACTTATGTATAAGAATCAAAGTGGTTTTATTAATTTACCCATATGAAATTAACATCAAAGGTAAGTACAAAAAGCATTTTATGTAAAATATATTGCTTAATAACTATATTTTCATTTACATAAAATGGTTTCAGTAATATTAATAATATGTTACACTCCACAAACCTAAAGAATCAATGTTCCTAACTTACACTCATTGGCTTATAAACTGTCAAAATATTACTGCATACAACCAAGTAGAATATGAAAAAACATTACATTATACAAACAAGTAATTCAGTGATTTTTAATGACTGCTGATCCAGTGAACATACATGTGGGAAATAGTTATTTTAAGTAGTGACCATAATCACTGATACTGGAAAATTCAAGTATATAAAAATAACGTAAATGTAAAAAAGAAATAAGCAGAGAAGAGAACACTGGTCATTTCAAGTTCAGCCATCAGCCTGAAGAGATCAATTACACATGTACATTGTCAAAAGTAATGTTTCCTACTTCAATGATGTAACAATATCAGAACCTGAAACTACTTCCAACTGCAGCTCACTGTTGTTAGTTTGCCAAATAGACAGCTGCAGAGGCCACAGTATATCAAACCTGTTATATCATTTGTAGTTAAGTTATTGATAATGCCAAAGAGCAGTCTGACCAACTGGCAACATGAGAAACATCTACGAGAAAGGTGTAACTAAGTGGGAGAAGACAAATATTAGTTACTACATTGCGGAAAGGACTTCTGGATCCTGTTCCACGGGCAACACTACCTACTGCAGCTACTAGCCACATGAATATAATTATTCCAATAATGGAATAACCTCTATTTCAAATACTGAGTAACTGGCAGTAATGTGATTTTTGAGTATCAGTTATCAAATCACTATTATTTATATTTATATTTTATTGTTCACCTGCATTACAACAGAAACAGAAATACTACTTTAAACCAAATAAAAGTCACCTGAAAACAAACATTTTTAAATCTTTAAAATTGGGAACAGAAGGGACTAAAATAACCAAATATAATATGAATTTTATCACAGAATTTTTTTAATATTATGTAACTAAATATATCTGATTACTGTTTGTACTATTAATTATACAAATTTATTCACCTAAATGCTATGAATCAACCAGGATCATTGACCAAGCTTAGAGCAGAACTATCAACACTGCTAAGCGGTCCTTCTATTCTTAATGGTATATGAAACTCCTTTAAAAAGACAGGCTGAACTGGTATCATTACAAGTGGAGGCAGTGGTGGTGGTTCACCATACTGATGAAGCTTATGTAGTCTTTGCTCCACTGGTGAATTGTTGATTCCCATGTTTGAACTGTGCATAAGCATAACATTGTCTTGGGGTGAACATGGTGGTGAGGACAACAATGGCATTCTTTTCCTGGTGCAAGCCACTTGTGGTGAAACTGATTTAGATGAATTTATTGGGTTCCTCATCAAAGGTCTACGAACTCCTTTAGTAACACTTGTTTGGGGTGAGTCACCAAAAGTAGTTCTTCCAGAATGCACCCTGGACAGTGAAGATGTACATCCACGTAACAGTGCTGATACTTTATCTTCACATGCAGAAAAAAAGACATCAAAATCCTAAAAGCAAGCAAATGTAACATTAAGATTTAATTAACTCTATAGCATGTTTTTTCTCAAATACATGTTAACACCATTCTTGATTTATAAAAGAAAGTAAGATTTATAATATTTAAATAAAATTGTAGTGGTACCTGCTGACCAATTTCTTGACGTAGTGAGGTAAGAGCCTGTTGAAGGTGTGGTTGACGTGGGTTTACTGAGAAACTGGAGAGCTCTGAGATATAGGCACACAGAACCCAACGGACAGATGCACCATGACGCCACTGTAGGTTGCTGGCAGCAACCAGTGCTCTTGGTTTAAGGACCTCTTCCCAACCAAATTGCTGGCAAATTATCATGTGTAATTATTAGTCTTTCAAATGTATAAACAAAATTAATGAACACTTTCATTTTCCAAAATTTCGTTCCTTCAGTACATACACACTTGTTCCATAATTTTAGTCAGTGCTGAAGCACCTCTCAAGCTGTTTTTTGAATCACCAACATCTGCTCTAATGCACTGTCTTCAATAATCCCTACATAAACAAACCTTTTGACTATCTTGGTTTTTCTAAGTTAGGGGAACAGAAGATTGTTACACTGAGCCATATCTCTAGAATAGGAAACTTACTTCTGAGATATGTACTATGCTGAACTAAATAAAAATGCTGACTGGCAATGCATACTGTCATACAATGTTAACACTTTCCTCGCTGGTGTTCATGCAATAACTTTCTTCCATTAGTAGAAATATATTTCCCTCTTAACATTAAAATATAGTAGTAGTAAAAAATTATTCTGAATACAGGCAACTCTCAGTTTATGAACATTCTCTATAACGAACATCACAATTCATTCAAAATTTCTTAAAGTCGCCAATAGATAGAGTTCCTTATAAAATGAAAAGCCAAAGATATCGTGAACATAATTGTAAGATTTAAATAAATAAACTTTAAAAATGTATTTATTACAATAATTATCAGAACATTATTATAAAATAATTATACTGAACTGTTCTTGGTTAATAAAACTAATCTAGCCAGTAAAAAAACGTTGGTTTACATGCCACGCTGTGTAGAATGTTTTCTTGCATAACGCATACATACACAATAAAACGTATTGTATAGACCATTCGATGTTTAGTACATGGTTTTAATGCTTTAAAATGGCTGTTAACGTATACGATACGTATTGTAATAGCTCAGGAATGCAAGATACACATAATGAACACCTTGGAACGTAACTCGTTCATAAACCGAGAGTTACCTGTAATGGAGAATTTTTCTCTTGTCCTTTCACAATTTTCCAGCATTTTATAATGCATAGTGCTAAATTAAATAAGCATAATGACCTTGAATATGCCTTTAGTGAAACAATGATGGTGAACGAACAACTAGGTATCAACAACTTCAGTGTATAAATAAAACAAACAGCACTTATTACATGCAGCTACTTTAAGTTTCTAAAATCAAAGCTCTTAGTACCTGATTATCTGATCTACACATCATACACATTTAAAAATACCTTGACACCACCCCAAAAAGACAGCCCCAAGACATTAAAATCCGTATCAGCCAAATACACTGTCTGGAAGCCAGAATTCCCTTGTACAGCAGCACCAATGTAAGTAACCATTCCTACAACATCTATTTCTCCAAATGGTGGACAGAAATCTGTACATGCAGCTTCACTTAAACTTGTTACTCTTCGTTTACGGTAGTCACAACTGTGACGTGAAGATGGTTTGTAAGCTGTCTTTCTCCCAGCAGAAAGTTGAAGAGCTCCACTCCTGCCAATATAAAAGATTAAAATTACATTCCAGTATTATGTAAGCTACATTCATTATACAAATTCTTGTCAACAGAATCCTCAAATGTGAATTTATATTGGCTTAATGCACTTAAATAATTGTAAATTTTCTGTTAGATCCCTGCAGACTGCAATAAAACTTCCAGAAAGCACAATAAAAGAACTATGATATGGCACTTCAACTTAAAACAAGTGGAACTTATTTGCAACTCAAAAGAAAAGCACATGCTCATCATAAAATTAAATTTCACAAAACAACTATATCAATTAAAAATGTCATCATTTTGCTGGAAGAAAAAGAGTATATATGAGGCGCGTCCCAAAAGTAAGTTTCCCACTCGTCCCACAGCTAGCAAACCTTATATTGCGCGAAGCGACTGTGCGTACGTGATAGAGCAATGACGTAGCATGGCGCATGCACTAACGGCACTTCCCGCGTTCTCACAGTAGCATCGTTGCAGCTGTTGAAGATGGAGGTTCTTATTCCAGCCCCCGCCGACTGTGAAGTGCGGTCAGTGATAACGCTAGGCCGCACACGGCTCGACAGACAGCAAGTCTCCTGCAGGAGTTCAGCTGGGAGGTGTTTAATCATTCACCCTACAGCCCGGACCTCGCTCCCAGTGATTTCCATCTTTTCCTACACCTCAAGAAATTCCTGTCCGGTCAGCGTCAGCGTCAGCGTTTTGAGAATGAAAGAGAGGCGGAGATGGTTGTCACACAGTGGTTCCAATCCCAGGCGGCAGACTTCTACGACACAGGTATTCAAAAGTTGGTCCCACGGTATGACAAATGTCTCAATTCCGGTGGCGAATATGTTGAAAAATAGCTGGACACTTGCTGTATCTGTTGCAATAAATATTCCCATGAAATTGTGTTTTGTTTCTGTAAACGGCCCCAGGGAAACTTACTTTGTAGACCAGCCTCGTAGAATAAACTCAGATAATGAATGTGGTTGACTAACTCTTGGGTTATTAAGTAACATCTTCACAACTGAGTAGATTATGCAGTGTCAAATGTCAAGATGATTACTGGAAAAGGCTGTGAAAGGAGCATTCACAGACTATTATAAGGTACTATCCCAGCATTCCCCTAGAGGGACTGAAAAAACCATGATAAACTCAGACAAAATAGCTGGACTCTGGACCAAGATACAAACTCAGGAACTACTGACTACAAATCAAAGAGGGCTGATCACTCAACCTGACATTTGGTGATAAATAAATTATATGTACTTACTACTGGTTCTATATGGTCATAAAATGCAAACCAAAACTTTCAGTCAACGCTGTATTAAACAAATGGCACTACTGGTTCTATATGGTCATAAAATGTAAACCAAAACTTTCAGTCAACACTGTATTAAACAACTGGTATTTGATGAGGCTAATTCACTGCATAACACTATAACTTACTTAATTACAACCAACCATTGTCTTGTCAAACCTGGCAGACCAATTCAAGTAGTAACTGCATCTGACTTGTATTCATAAGGTACCTAGTTCAAATCTCAATTAGAACAGCAGCTAACCTGACAGAGATATTTTGTTGTTTTTCTCAGTCCTTCCTGGCAAATCCTACGATAACCGACTCTGAACAGGTCATTATAACTTCCACTCCATTGCACTAAACATGAGCACCCCTAAACAAAATTTTACTGTGTATCTGATAAAATATATTTAAATAACCCAAAAGTCAAGAAACTATCTGCACCTTTGGCTTCCAAGATAACCTGAATATTACACACCTCTGCGTAACAAAGACCTCTTGTAAAAAATTAAATCCTTCACTGACAAGAAGGGAAAGGTGTAATCCATTTTGTAGTATACATATATTCAAAATGCATTATTTGTAACTTTGCATACAGCATCTACAAATAACCATTATTCTCAAACTGATTACCTGACACCAACAGCAGAAATACTGAACAATGTGACTGTTATGCCTTCTTTCAGCAGTTGCATCACATCTTCTGATGGACGCCACACAGAAAGCATGGCTGATTGAGTTGACTTAGGTGTGCCAGGGTCCACACATCGTACTTTAAACAAAGGTGTAACGTTGCGTGAAACTACAGCTGTATCCTTCAATCTCTCCCTTACCCTGGCTTCAAGTTCTTGCTGCATATTCTCATGTTTACTCCTCTGGTAGTCAGCTACTGCATATTTCTGCTCCTCAGTTAACAATGCCTGTTGTTAAAAGAAAGTCCTGTAATATCAGCAGGATATGAGGATGTTATTTACACAGCTTTAGAGATTTGGTGGTCCTCAAAAAAAGTGATCCATATCCCCATCAGCACAAATAAAATCCAAACACAACCTAAATATCATGCACAGTCACTAGTTTACAAGGCCACTATAAAGATTATGATTTGAACCTTCCTCCTATGTGGAATACTGAGCTTTCGGACTTCATCCATCATATGGTATTCTAAAAAATACACAACATTTCAAAGCTGGGTCTGTTTTCATCTTCAGGTATAGGAAAGAGGGGCACCTACTCAGATGGATTTGTTTGAAAGCAATAACCTCAGTCACTGGACCTGAGAATGAATATAAAGTTCATATTTTCAGCCTTTAATGCATACCAAAGACTTAAAAAATATCTAAAAAATTATTCATGCAAAAAATGACTAAAATTAATGATGTCATGTGACATGCAGGCCTGACTGAATATGTCGGGTGATAATGTGTAACTGACAGATTCTGAAATAAAATAACTGACATTGTCCATTATACATGATAAGTGGTATATACACTTTCCCTCAATTTTGTACAGAACCAAACACAAAGAAAGAATGCAAACTCTTCACACATCCTTAACCAGTGTCATATGGGGACAGAGGATTTAAACTGCTGTACTATGGGGCTGGCAGCCATACTTTAACTCCAACATTAATAATTTAGTAGTATGCTAGTGTAACACATGGACAGTTGGACTGCATATAATCTACAAAGCATAGTCAATAAAGAATAAAAGAGAACAGAGAGTTTCTGAGCACTGGATGTCTGCAATTTCATACAGTGTCAATAGTTATGTTACTAAAATGCATTACCTCTACTGATGCTGGATCAGGAGCCAGTTCTAAAATGTCACATAATTTTTCACCAGAACATATGAGTGCTAGTTCTTTAGCATTGGGTACATGATGTTGAGACTTCAAATGCCTCTGACTGCTGTTCTTTTGTTGAAGTTCAAGTTTCAATTGGCTGTATATTTGTTCAACACATTCCTGATGTCTTCGTTGCCACTGAGCTGCTGCTTTTTCCTCTGCCCAGACTGAGCGACTTACTGGAATAGTGAAAAGTATAAAGCAGTGCATTTAAAAGAAATATGTATGGCATATATATCCCTGAAGGTTGAAACACAATAAGATATTTATTTCTGTACTTGCAGTTCATTTAATGACAATGTCAGCTGTTTAGTCTATACAGTATTGCTGATAGGATGAGTAATGAACAATGAACTAGACAGGATGTGGATGTAAGCAGTTGCAGGCCAATTTGTAGTACTATCCCACCATTTACTTGTAACTGTCAAACAGGTCAGGACACCTAGTCTCCATACAGAGATTTGACCTGACACTTCCCAAATATGAAACATGAGTGCTAACAACTGAGCTATTACATACAGGGAAGTGATATATTATACACAATACTTAATAAGAAAATGAAAACAAAAGAATACCAAAACTGATTATAGAATACAAACCTAGGAGAAGGATCAATGAAGAGATGGCAAGAAATCATAACAGGCCACATGGCCTAATACCTGGCAGATTGATGATTTAACAAGAATTACAGACATGCATTTCATTTATTCATAAATTAGATAATGAAAACAGCAGAAATCTGAGATGTAAGTTCAAGTTTGTACTTTGATATTACACAGATTTTTCTACATATAATTTACACTGTTCTGAAAGTAGGTAACTAACTTTCAAGTAGGATACATCTACATCACCTTTATTTTGATATCCACTCTAGAATTATTAATTACAGTACAAAACTCAGGGATACCAAGTCAAATGCTGAAAGCTGACAATTTAACATATATTCGGCAGATCTACTGAAAGAAAATTCATCTTTACATCCATGCAGGTCAGTATTTGAACTACATGGATATTATCATGTCTGTTTGTGACTAGGGAAGGGTCTCATTTTTGCAAAAGGGAAATGACAGCTGCAATAGAAAGATGCCTAATATTGTGCCATCAGAACTGACCGATCTGGAAGTATATAAGAAACAATTATCTTTTAAACAGAGCATACGAAACTTAGTACAATAAAGGGTAAAATGTTAAGAACTTACCTGATCTGCCTTCATCTAGCTTTTCTACATACAACAAAGGATATGCCCTGACGACAGTTACTGAGACACAGCTGACAATCCCACCAGAAGGCAATATGGAAGTTAGGGAGACGGGCAATGGTCCTGGATGTGTGTGGAAGCCCAACTTAGTATCCCAGCGAGCTCGTCGAGTTGAATTGCTACAAAGTTTCAGCTTCACATCACTTCCAATCTAATTAGAACACACAAACATTTTATTATTTTCATAGTCAAATAAGTCTCTAAGTTTTAGAGTATTCTCTCTAATAATACAGCAAATATTTAACAATATATATGGGAACATCTTTCTGATTGTGCAATGTGATATCTGTAATACAACTAGCTTTGTAACAACACATTTGTATTTTCAGTGTATAAACATCAAGGCCAGTAACATATGCAAAACTGAAAAGAACACTATTGGAAAATATATGTGCTGCAACAAAATACACCTTTCAATTCTTGCTGTTTCTTACGGCAAAACAAAACTCAAGTTACTATAAATTCATAAGCAGAAAGAATACAAATTTACATATAGCCATGCACTGACTACATTTCATCACCCTTTACTGGTAAAATGGTTCAGTTCAAGTGACAATTTTTTTGTATCCTAGATGACATCATAATAAGCAGAAGACTCACCTCAAGGGGTGAGCATCCCTGTTCACAGTTGAGTAGCTCTGCCCCATAAGAAATTAGTTTTGTTCCAACCGCAACAGTACCTCGCTGAATACGCTGGCACAGTTCCTGATCCACAACTGCAGTGATGCTATACCAACCATCAGTGAGCTCCAGTTCATAGTGCAAGTCCTTTTCAGAGCAGTCCAGCTGCAGTAAGAAAAACTGCATTAACATTTCAAATAATTAGGTTAATATGATTGAAAGCAAAACAAAGGGAATGAAATTAAAATTTTGCAAAGCTATGGTCACATCTGTAGTTTTATAGGGTAGCAGTAAATGGGTGGAACAAGATGGGCAGGGCACATAGCATGACAAGATATTTATGGACTAGCTGAATGACAGACAATCTCTCAAAACAGGCTCTGATCCACAAGTTAGTTAATTACAGATGGGCCACAGAACAAAAGGGCATGGTACAGACTACCGAACTGAAGTTTCCATATAGAAACACTGTATAAACATGGACAGAATTCATAATGAACAAATAGGAAATAAATAATAAACACAGTAGCCTCCTTAAAGGGTAACAAATCGATACAGACAAAAAATGTATCAAATTCACACTGCAAAGAGAAAAGAACACCTAAAACTACATTAAAATATAGACAAAGAGGATACAGATACCTGGGACATCCTAAGAAAATATTAATTTATTAGTGACCTACAAACAGACAATATTATCTACTTCAAGAAGTGTGAAATAAAACTAAGGCTGTGTTGTGAATTTTCAGTTCTCTGACACATGTATAATAGAGTAAACAGCAAATACAGAAAACTATCTATGACATAATTAGGTTATAATTACATGCAAAATATGAAACAGAACACCAGAAAGAAAATAAGAAAATGGAACTAAATATTACAAAAGCCATGCTACTGCCTCTGAAATACAATACACACAGAATGAAAAAAGATTTCAAAGTAAAAAAGAGTAGTAAAGATGAAATAAGAACAAGCAAATTAACCTTTGGAGGCAGCAATGAAATGAGCATTTTGTCTAGGTATATGAAATGTACTATATATCAAATGAATGTCAGCTGGATGTTAGAACTAGCTTTACCTAATGAAACTCACATAGCAGGTAACCTCCCCACCTACTTGAAGGCAGATATAGAGCCAGCCTCTAAAACAATGTGTACCATTTCTATCCAAACAATGGACAAGTATTCAAACTTTTGCAGTTCAAAAACTTACAAGACTCAACATTTACAAAACTTTGACAAGACCTGTGTAGGCATATGGAAGTAAAGTCTGAAAAATTACAAAAGCAAAGAAAAAGAGATTATGAACATCTTAAATAAAACAACTGCAGGTATCATATATATCATAAACAGAATAAAGACTTTTATAACAATTAAAGTCAATCAGTCATCTATTCATATAAAATTACAGAACTAATTTGACACAAAATGTAGGAAAAGTGGGAAACTATAATAGAATGACATAAGCTTTATAAGATACAAGGCTAGAGGAAAGAGAAGTTTAAGAAGACCACTGAAAAGATGCTATGTAACAATGGCAGGCCACATGGCATAATACCTGAAAAGATAACAGACAACATCCAAAGAAAATTATTTCATGAACACTAGAACTCCTTCTGTCAAATACCAAAAGCCTCTTTCCACTGCCTTTAAATCCTAATTACAGTTCTGTCAATGAGTTTATCTAGCCAGAAATACAGAAATATTTCTGATGAAAAAAAGAGTGAATGCATTATACTGTTTTTAACTCAGCTATCAAAGCAAGTTAATATAGCTTAAGGGACCAAATGATGAACAATTTACTTTTATAATCCTTGCAACACACAAAACAAGCCTTTTAGCAGCTGAATCATCATGCTCCAGGATTTTTCTTAGGGCTGGTCGTTGATAGTGGTCCACTTCTCGATCATAACGGTACTTGAGTTGAAACAACAACATATTGGGTGTGAGGCACCTATGGAGAAAGAAAAATGTAACGTGTTATATGCACAGCATTCCTAAAATAATTTTCATTCAGTCCAAAAATTCTCTATCCAGAAGCTGGCTATTCTGACACATACTAACTGCCTCAACTGATAGTTACAGGGTGGAGATCATGAGATGTAAATGTGTTCTTGAGATTGCCTCACTGCTAAGAATTTGTTTGCTTTACTAAAAAGGAGTTGAGATGCTGCAGCATTGGACCTGCCTGAATTATGCATCCAAAGGAGAAAGATTTACTTCAAGGGATCAGACATCAAAGATAAACCAATCAAGAACTATGCTGAGGGCAGTGGGGAAAACAAACCACTAAAGAGTACCTAAAACATTCCACAGCAGAGTACACCAGTGATACATATGTATGAAAAAGAGAGCAGATTATGATGAAAAGTAAACAGGATTTGTGTGCTGTCTTTTGTAACAATTTTTTTATACTGAAACTGAACTTACTTGTGGAATTAATGAACCTCACATATCAAAGAATTTCTATTGACATGGGCAGTGTTATTACTTACTGTCATTGGATATACTAGAACATTTGGATGGTAAAATAAATACAAGTGACTAAATTTAAAATGAGAACAATAAGCAAATACAAAACACCTCTTTTTTATCAGCTAATTGAAACATAATATGGACTATGATTGACTGTAGATTACAAACACAGCTGTTTTTCAACTTAATATGTCAAACGATACAAAAGAATGAGTATGTAATGATGTGGAAGGAGCCAATCATTACCTATTTGAAGGTACTACCCATTTATGCTTGGAAAGACTGAGGAAAACAAAGAAAAATTCAGCCAGGACAGCTGATAACCTGGTTGAAATCCAGACCAGGTACCTCATAAATATGCATCTAGGTCATTACAGCTACACCAAAATTTTGGTCATTGGACAAATCATGTGACAGAGATAAAATGATGTGACAAAAACTGGAGTGACATTGAATGATGGTATGAAACTTTTATCAAGAGTAAATGTATGTAATGTGGATACAACTTAAGAAGGAAGAACATGACATAATTTTCAATAAGTAACTGCTAAGTTTTCATACCTGGAAGCAAACTGCAGAGGAAAGCTGCGTTCTACAGAAGCAAGCTTCCAAACCAACCAGCGATAATGGTTGTGAACCCAACCTGCAGGCACCAATATAGGTTCTATGCCAGGACTACTGAGGAATGCTTGAACAACTTCCTCCACACCAGCAGTTCCCTTGGAATCAAGTACAAGACATGCACCATCACCCACAGGTATACCTGTTACATTCCTCAGACACAGTGACTGGCTGAAACAGAATGAAAATTATACAGAAGTATGTGCAGATATATGCACACAAAAGAAGGCATTCTACTAAATAATAAATATGAATAAAATGGCTTAAATCAATTACCAAACTTTCAGATGAGGAATGATGTTAACTCAATTTGGGTGTAAGGATGTGTTAACTATAAAACATAGTAGGTATTACCACTATTATCTGAATTTCCTAATGCAATGTAATGATATTAACAAACCTGTAGTAGTCCCATGCAGAGAATCTGAATTCAGCTGCATTCGCTGCTGTAATATTTATAACACTTTCTTTCACTCCAAATTCCAGAAGCTGTGGAGGTACAGAGAAAAACATAATTATTTAAAAGATCTGTATATTAAATACATAAATCCTAATAGCAACACCTGGTAATTTATGTGCATATTCATATGACACATGGAGTAGCTCTTACCAGAGACCTTCCAGTACAGTGAAAACAATTCAACATCAACTATTGGTCTGCAAGCCTACTGCAGCTTCATCAGGCCTATTCAGCTGTCTCCTATTAGAATTCCTGACAGATTTTTCAGTACTTCACAGTAGTGCCAGCAAATACATTCACACTTTATTTCACCTTGTCAAGCAAAATTACCAATATTTAAAAGAAGTAATGATATTATATCCGTAAATGTCCCCAGCTTTCAACTACCAGTTACACAATGAATTGGAACAGATTTGGAAGTGGTCATGCCAGTCAGAGAGAGAGAGAGATAGATAGAGAGAGAGAGAGAGAGAGAGACAACAACAACAACAACAACAACAACAACAACTCGGTAGGATAACAAGTCTCCAAGCATAAATTTGAAAGGGATCTGCCAATTACAAAACAAAAAAGGTAACCAAACAATTGTGATATAAAGCAATTACTTTCATCCACTACTTTAAAGTTGCAATTAGATATCCACTAGATGGCAAACACTGCCGTAAACACAAAAATGAACAACAATGGGCTTACTTGGTTGTATGTGTACTGGCCTGGCAGGGTACCCCAAACAGCCTCTCGCCATTTCATCTGCAAGTGTCGCTCCTCTTTCCGAACATAGTAACTGCCCTTGCACGGCCGCATTCGACTGTTTCCAGAACTTATTCTGCTCCTTACAAGTGCTGCCTGTTCTTCTCCTGCTGTCTTTCGACCTGCAGCCACCTCTGGACACACCTCCCTCTCCCCCATAAGAAGTTCTTTTCTGCATGGTTCCTGACAGCCAGTCTCCTTCCTCAGTTCAGGAGTTCTCAAGTGCTTCGCAAATGGTGTTCCAAACTCTAAATGCCTAGCAGTCCGTTTTACTGGGCAGAGGCGTACTGGAGTAGAAATATCACCAGCTGATGATGTAGAATTCTTGTAAGGAACCTTTCAATCAATTACAACTTTGTTACATGCTTTTTGTACAGATTCAGTAAGACTATTATAATTAGATATTAATTACAAGCTTCATAATATTCAAAACCGCTACAAAGCCAAAATACATTCTTCCTCATTCAAAATTTCACTGTATAATTCACACCATCATGTAATTTATGTATTCTCATTCTTCACTGTGGAAGTAATGAAAAAGTATATTCCATACAGTTCACACATTCCATAAGGCAACTGAAATACAAAACACATTTCCAGATGTTGATTATATGCCATTCAAAATTAAATAACATGAAAGATTTGTTTGTTCATATGTGAAACATTCAAATAGTTGATCAAAAATGAAGACTCAGTATTTGAAAGAAATCTTAAAACTATACTTTTTCCTTCAAACAGCTAAATTGTGAAAATTTTCATAATTTATATGAATGATCAATGATATATGAAGTTATAACCTGACATGCAATGCAAACCCAACTTTACAAAATAAATTGCTTTAATTACACTGTTTCTACCACACTTTATACTGCATTAAATTAGATTGAAAAATGCTCATGGATCGTGGGTAGGTAAGGAATGTGGCATATTTAAAAGTCCTTGTCTGTGACAGAAGACGCTGGCATAGTAGTAATGCTCTAAACTTGTATTCAGAAGGTACCCAGTTTCAATCTTGGCAATGTTATAAGCTATCCTGATGTTTGTAGTGGTTTAACTTAGTCTCCCAGAGCAAATGCTCTGATACTATCTCCAAACAACTGCCTCATTTTAAATTCCTACCTACTCACTACTCAAAATCACATTAGCATGTCATTCAATGCCACGTAATCTCTTCCATTCAAACACTGTTATTAAACAGCCCACAAATCACCTGACAACTGAGACTATGGGAAATCATAAAAACCTCAATCAAAATAGCCAATAGTTCAGCCAAGATTCAAACAGAATGAACACCCTCAAGCTGCATTCTTCCCTGAACATACAAGACCAGGTTTCACCCATACAAAACAACAGCTAACATTATGTCACACGAGGAACAACAATATTAATTTTTACAGAAGAGTATAGAATATAGTATCATGAAATATAAGTGGTTCACCTTGAATGATGAACTGGCAGGTATGTTAGAGCTGTGTCCCAGGTCATCAGAAATCGTCTTGACCCTTCGCCTCTTCCTACAGCGATCATGAGAACCCAACACTGGACTGCCAGGATCCACTATTGTCACAGTACTGCTGTCTTTATCCTCAGAGCAGACCAGAGCAGTTGGGGCAGCATCCTGATCATATAACATGTCAGGGCAAGACACATAACTCACAACCCAGGATGGAGAATCAAACGTTGCTTCATCTGCCAATAGAGCGGCTGCACTTTCCTGCACTTCCTGAGTAAGACTCATTGATACTTTATCTGTTTTGCTACATTCTGTAGTAACACCATTAGGTGGGCGTGTAACTACCACTGTATCACATCTCTCCTTAACCCCTGTAACTTTAGCAGCAGTAATGCCTGTGCTGTGACTGTCAGCCTCAGTACATGAAATGTGATGCAATTTTCTTTTAAATTCGGGTGTGTTTGTAAATCTATTTAAGGTCCCTGCTTTAACATATGTTTCATCTGAAATACAAGTATTTTGTTTACCATCTTGTCGATCTCTTTCATTTACGTAAAAAAAGAATGGTCTACAAGAATTTATTTGTTCTGACTGAGGTATTTCAAACAATGAATTTGATTTATTTTGAACTGCAATTCTTCTAGAAAGTTTCACTTTTACTTTTCTTGGCTTTTCCTTTGAAACTGACATTTTCTCCAATTGTGCAGATGTCTCTGTAATCAGAGAAGGTTTTTCAAACTCTAAATAGTTTGTATTACTGATACTTATGCATGCAGCTTGTTCTTCTTCTAAACTAAACTCTGTGTTTCTGTTTAGAGCTTCAGCTGATACACAATCATGATTTACACTTGTAGGTAACAACTCCTGAAAAGTCTTTGAAACTATTTTTTGTTTTACATTGAAATCTGAAAAATTCACTTCATGAACATTTTTCTTTGTACAAGCTCCTTCTGCTTCTTCCTCTAAAAATAATAGTTTGGCTCTATTCAAAGCTGTGGCTGATACAGAAACTTTCTTTCCACTAGCTGTTGAGAATCCTTGCAACATTGGTGGCTCTTCATTTGTTCTTAATTCTGGAACTTTTAACCCATCCTTGACTAGTTCTGTGCAAGATTCTTCCTCTGTAAACAACAGTCTGGCTCTATTCAAAGCTGTGGCTGATACAGAAACTTTCTTTCCACTAGCTGTTGAGAATCCTTGCAACATTGGTGGCTCTTCATTTGTTCTTAATTCTGGAACTTTTAACCCATCCTTGACTAGTTCTGTGCAAGATTCTTCCTCTGTAAACAACAGTCTGGCTCTATTCAAAGCTGTGGCTGATACAGAAACTTTCTTTCCACTAGCTGTTGAGAATCCTTGCAACATTGGTGGCTCTTCATTTGTTCTTAATTCTGGAACTTTTAACCCATCCTTGACTAGTTCTGTGCAAGATTCTTCCTCTGTAAACAACAGTCTGGCTCTATTCAAAGCTGTGGCTGATACAGAAACTTTCTTTCCACTAGCTGTTGAGAATCCTTGCAACATTGGTGGCTCTTCATTTGTTCTTAATTCTGGAACTTTTAACCCATCCTTGACTAGTTCTGTGCAAGATTCTTCCTCTGTAAACAACAGTCTGGCTCTATTCAAAGCTGTGGCTGATACAGAAACTTTCTTTCCACTAGCTGTTGAGAATCCTTGCAACATTGGTGGCTCTTCATTTGTTCTTAATTCTGGAACTTTTAACCCATCCTTGACTAGTTCTGTGCAAGATTCTTCCTCTGTAAACAACAGTCTGGCTCTATTCAAAGCTGTGGCTGATACAGAAACTTTCTTTCCACTAGCTGTTGAGAATCCTTGCAACATTGGTGGCTCTTCATTTGTTCTTAATTCTGGAACTTTTAACCCATCCTTGACTAGTTCTGTGCAAGATTCTTCCTCTGTAAACAACAGTCTGGCTCTATTCAAAGCTGTGGCTGATACAGAAACTTTCTTTCCACTAGCTGTTGAGAATCCTTGCAACATTGGTGGCTCTTCATTTGTTCTTAATTCTGGAACTTTTAACCCATCCTTGACTAGTTCTGTGCAAGATTCTTCCTCTGTAAACAACAGTCTGGCTCTATTCAAAGCTGTGGCTGATACAGAAACTTTCTTTCCACTAGCTGTTGAGAATCCTTGCAACATTGGTGGCTCTTCATTTGTTCTTAATTCTGGAACTTTTAACCCATCCTTGACTAGTTCTGTGCAAGATTCTTCCTCTGTAAACAACAGTCTGGCTCTATTCAAAGCTGTGGCTGATACAGAAACTTTCTTTCCACTAGCTGTTGAGAATCCTTGCAACATTGGTGGCTCTTCATTTGTTCTTAATTCTGGAACTTTTAACCCATCCTTGACTAGTTCTGTGCAAGATTCTTCCTCTGTAAACAACAGTCTGGCTCTATTCAAAGCTGTGGCTGATACAGAAACTTTCTTTCCACTAGCTGTTGAGAATCCTTGTAAAACAGGTGAATGCAGCTCTCCCTTTCGTTTAAATTCTGAAACAGTATGTATTAATGAAGAATCTAATATCTCTGGAACTTCTGATACAGGAGAAAATACATTTTTCAGTGTACTGTTTACATTAGCACCAATCTTTGGAAACTTGTGCTCCACATTTCTCATTGCTATTGCCGATGGAACAATCTTCATACCACTGATAGTAGTGTAACTGTCCACTTCCAGACTATTAGAAGAGTATAACATATTTCCAACACTCTGTAATAAATTTCCATGGTTTTGACCAAGTCTGCTACTGACGGCTACATTTTTATCTGGAACCCCTTGATTATCCACAGAGAGTTGGTCTGAAATATCCACAATTTTCTCACAGACAGAAACAGGTTGGCAGTTTGCTGTGGAAACACGCTGTGGCAGAGGCAGCTGCAAATAATTTTCAGTTCTGAACAAGAAACATAAAGTTTCTGTAGTGTCAAGGACAGATTTACCTACCCCTACCCTTTGACAATTAACGTTTGGATGTTGCAATGGCGATGAACTCTCAGCTTGAAATAAATGTCTAGTATCTGTCACAGGTGTTTGAAAGGAATTATCATTACTTGACAATAACATATTTGTTTTTGACATTTCCTCATTTTTTCCCACATCTTCTAGTAACCCAACTTCACTATTGGCTGTGTTCAATGTTACCATTTTATTACTTCCAGTATCAACTGTTTGAATGGTCTCAGATTTCTGTAGTTCAGCTTCAGGGAACAGAATATTCTTTAAAGCTGTACCTGACATTACACGGTTCCTTCCAATTGTTCTTGACAATTCTGCAGGTTCCATTTTAGTTGACATATTTCCATTTACTGCATCCAGGTTCTTCTGACTTTTAGAAGGAACTGTTTTGATCATAATCCCATTTGATGCATCACATTCAGAGGAACAAGCTTTGGGTCTTTGTAATGAAACATCTCTCTCTCTACTTGCTGCATGAAACACTGCCATTTCTGGGTGTCCACTTTGCATTCTTTTACGTAATGCTGTCGGCAGACTGTGATCAGCTCTTAACACATAATCTTTGGGTTTGTTTATTGTTGTCTGGGCTCTATTCTCAATTTTAAAAGTGTCTAAACTGTCACTGAAAAGCTGCCTGATAACTGTAGCATTCAATATTTCTTCCATGTAAACTTCCTCACTATGTGGTTTAACTTCATTATCACTAGATTTCACATTTTCTACTACTTTGTGACAATTGCCATTTTCTTTTTCCTCTCTTACTGTGCTATCGCAAACAATATTCTTGTGATGCAACAGTCTGCCTTGCTGCAAGTCTTGTATTGATGTTTTTATATCCTGATGACCAGAAGAACACAATGAAGTTAATTCACCAGATGAATGTTTATCTCCATCATTAGATACACTAACATCATTCAGTGGATCTTTGGCCACATGAGTAGTGGCACATGTTTCCTTTTGACTTGAAGATACACATCCTTCTCTTGTATATGAATTGACATGAAATTTGGATTCTGTTGGTGGATTATTGATCTTTTCACAGTTCTCAGATTCTTGATCATGGACATCATTGGGCCACTGACTAAAGATGCTTCCATCATCTGCCAACTGTTGCATGAACTCAACATGTTCTGCAGCAAGTACTATCTGTAAATCTGTCGTGTGTTCTTGGTCTCTTTTTTTTTCCAACAGACTCTGAGTACTTTCTTGATTTACTGCTTTATCAAAATTATAATTCTGAAGGGTTTTAGTTTCTGCATGCATTACTATTTCCAACTTATTATTATTACTAGCACACATCACAGAGGAATTTATAATATCATAAAATTTGTTGTTCAATACATGTCCTTGTCTAGAAACATTATCAGATACATCACATTTCTCTTCTGTTGTGCTATTACTATGTTTACAAGAAATATAATCACCTGCTAGACAAACAGCATTGAACTTGGTATCCTGCAATTCTACACATTTTGAACTATAACTAGGAACCTTGGAAGCAACGTCTGGGATCACTTTCACCACTTCTCCTGTCATTATATCATTCGTTGATCTCTTGACTTTAAGCAGAGCATTATCTGATAATATGATTTGCTTTCCTGTAACAGTACTGAAACCCAACATTTTTGTACTTTGGCTCAATCTGGAAAATTCATATTCCAATTCTTTCTTGCTACTTGAAGGCAATTCATCCAATTCCTCATTAAAATGTTCTTGCATATTACATGTGGTGTTTGAAGCATTAAATGGTGCTTTTGTTTCATGGCTCAGCAGAAAGTTTCTTGTGTCATGTAAATTTATTATGGCCCCTGATTGTTCTTCTGGTTTGCATGTTTCAAAATCATACAAAACAGAAGAAACATCATTGCATTCTTCCTTTGTATTACCACTGGCATTAATGAATTCCTTGATACTGTCCTGATTACTCAAACTGTTGACCTGAACACATGTTTCGTTAATACTGCTGCTATCATTGTTCCTTTCTCTACTTAAAGAGTTGTAACAAGATCTCAAGCTGCGAACATACTTTACAGTACCATCTGTTCTACTTGTTAATGCATTTATTCTCTTCAGATGTTCAACAGGCTCACCACTAGTTATACAGTTGAGGGGTTCTTGTAGCTTGCAAAATGGCATTAATTCTTGCCTGTCACATGAAATATTAAATTTTCTCACATCATTATGTTTTGCCTTTGTTCCTATCACTTTTTCCATGGTTTCAGCAGATTTTATGACATCATCCACCAAGATATTCATACTTTTATTTTGTGTGAATGCTGCCTTCATTTCCATACTGTCAGGTACATATATGAATTTCTTAAATTTGTTTCCTGTCAACTTGATGGCCTGCACCCGTAATGCAATATCTACAGCACTGTTATTTTCTGATGAATTAAACTCAGAAGTAGCCTGCTCCAGGACAGTGTCACCCCCATGTGGCTTCTCTTCAAACTCAAAACTTTTCTGAATATGTTCTTTCACTAGTCTTATATTCTTACTATTTTTGTTTGGTGTTTTGTTGCCAGGAACATGTACAAACTTAATTCTCCTTTTTCTTGACCCAGAATTAAATCTGCTGTGTTTATCTGGACAGACAATTGGAGTTGATGTCCTGCACAAATATGACTTCTCTGGCAAGGATAACTGATCACACACAGGGGCTTTTCTATTCTTATCTGTATTGACAACATCTTGGGGACATTCAATCGGAGTGTTGGTGCTAGCAGCCAACAGTTCTGTTACTTGGCATATTTCTTCCAGTGTGTTGACTGATAAGTCTTGAGGAAAATCTTCAGGTGAATGAAGAGCTTGTGAAGCAATTACTTCAATTTCATTAGAAGCTGCTGGATTAGACTGTAAACATTCTACTGCACCTACAGATCCAGACAATCTCACATGACTGACTTCATCACATGCTACAGCACCCATGTCTTCTTCTAATTGCACTGCTGCTATTCCATGCTGTGTAACAGAACCCTCTCCTGCATGAACCCCTTTATGTTTGTTATCATGAAACAATTTCCGTGACACTGTCAGTCCTGCATTGACACGTCCCACAAGAGGAGATGAGTTACCAAAGTCAATTTCAACATTATTTTCAGTAAAATCATTCACACCAGAATCTGGAGACTTAATTATAACATGCCTCCTGAAGCTGTTACACTGATTCATTTCCTTTTTGCTACCAGAGAAATGCATTTTCTGTATTAATTTCGACTCTATTCCTTGAGAAAGTTCCTCAATATCTTTTCTTTCATTAAACTTCTCTTTTATGTCCACACTTTTGTTTACTGTATTCAGTACTGTTTCTTCTAATCTACACACATTTCCACAATTTTCTGTTAAAGGAGTGTCAACATTTTTCTTAGACAGAACTTTACAACTAGGAGTAGAAAAGCACAAAATGTTTTCTTTGCTTGACAGCAGAGAATGTTGTATGTTTAATTCTGTTTTATCCACAACTGAATTTTCAACTAAAAATGTAGTACCTGAAACATCTTTCTGTGTTGTCGTGTTCAAATCTTTTGACTCACAAAAATTTCCAGTATCCAGGCTTTCATCAGGTGAGAACAGAACTCGTGGCTGGAACAGATAGCCACAATAAATAAATTTGTATAATACATGAAATATATTATGTAAGAGTGTGAATCATACAAAATATTTTGGTACTGCTATGTATATCTTTCTTGCACAGGTGGACAGAGATGTAGTGCAACCATCAGGGCCAGAGGGGTTTGGTCCCACCAGCATTTAATGCTTCAATGTATAAAAAGCAGACTGATGTACTTCAAATTTCTTTATATGCACAATATCAAATTAAGGTTCTATAAAATTCCATGAAAAATTTGCTTATGATTCAAGGAGCCCTTGTGCGGGGTTTACATCACAGGCCCTAGTGTGAGCAGAGTTTTCCAGTGAAGTTACTTCAACTGTTTTATGGCACATGATAGATGTCACAACTTCTGATCACAAGTCTGTTACGTTACCACCTAAGTCAGGACAGGCTCAGTGAGAAGTCCATATATGTTCCCACCTCCCATACTCCCTTCACGCTATATGTAATGACTGGCTTGGTGTCTGGAAGCATGTGTGTGCGTCTGCACGCATGTGTGTGTGTGTTGAAGGTATCCTGCAATTAAATATTTAATTTCTTCGGTTTGTGCTCATTTTCCTCCATTAAAATTTCCCTTTATTCACAGTTCCATTTCTAAGGTCCCAGCTGAAAAATTTGTGCTAACTTTCCTCCATTAAAGTTTCCCCTCAATTAATATTCAATTCCTATTGTCCTAGATCAATGACAAATATTCAGGCATTGAAGATTTTGTTCAATTTACTATTCAAACTCAACATCTCAATGAGAAATTAAAACAATTTCACTACACAATGTATAAGTATCTGGAATATTAAAAATATCCTATGTTGTAGATCTGTCTACTGAGGCTCAATTTAAAGTGCTTCAAATACTGAAAGTAAAAGTAATTTCTGAAAGCTAACATAAACTAAACATAAAAATGAATCAAAATATTTGAAATGTTAGGTCTTCATTTGTTGCTTGGAATGTAGCAATCACTGTAAGTGTATTGCATTCTTCCTTCCAACACCCACATTTTACATAAGTGTGCAACTACAGTATCTTCATTTCATCAGATATTTTGATTTTAATAACTTACACTTTTGGAGCTGTCGGTTGGCATTAAGACTTTCCTTTCATCTGAATTAAGACAGGACCGAGTATGGATGTTGGAAAGTGGTGTAGCAAATGCACTGTTCCATGACATATCACTCCCATCTTCCAGTAACGGTTCCAGACTTTCAGGAACTGTCCCACTTCCCATTGGCAAAAGTGGAATAGGACTCAACCTAAACAAAATTTACAAAGATAACAGAGTATAATTCCAACCCAGTAGACAGAAACCTTCATACTCACCGCTGTGAAAACCTCAAATTATACATATTATATTTTGTTATACAAATTTTATATTTAGTTGTTTATCATATTATGTATGAGGTTTACAAAATAATGAAAGATGCTAATTATAAATGCCATTAAAAAAATTTATTTATTGTTTTAACAAACATCTGACAAGTAATAAACATTACAAAGTACCAAATGCTAACCTCACTAGTTATCAGAAAGGTGCTCACTATGCATGAATCAAGTAATTCAATACCAACCAACCAACCAACCAAAAAGCTAACTAAAGGCGGAGTCCTGCATAAGACATTCAATATTATTTCATATGACATTAAATGTCTAAATCATGATATCATAGCATTTAAGTCAGCAATGAAAGATTGTCATTTTTCTCACTACTACTCTGCAGAAGGATTTACTTCAAATTAATATTCTTAAATATTCCACATCATTGTCTTATACTACGATACATAATATTTTTAAAAAATGTAACTACACTTGAACTTGATAATATACATCTTCAGAGGAAGAAGAATAATCCCTAATGATGACAGGCTCAGAAGTGAGAATTGTATCTATTCATCATGCCCTTCTAGTCTAGTGTTACAAATCTTTTCTGTCTGTGCAATCCTTCAGCCTCTGACATTGACATATCTCAACCAGAAGCAAAAGAGGTATATATATATAAATAAAAGGATAGAGATTTCTGAGAAATGAACAGGAATCAAGTGAGAACAGTAATACCCCAATTTGCACAAGAATATAAACACAGCAGATGGAGGGCCACATTATTAATAAATTGTATAAAAAATACCACAGATCACACTTTCTTCAGGCCACTCTGGATTATAAGCCACATACTTCCCAAACCTGTTTCAGACTCTTTTATGACTATGTGGTTACAGCAGTACACCAAATAACAAGGGTCATAAATATTAAACAAATGGAGAGCCAAAGTACTTGCAATGTAACTATATTTAAAAAGTAATGTGTCTCCTGTAAATGCATATATACAACTCAGAAATTATTCATAAATAAACCTACTTTGAAGATTTGAATGGTGAATACCAATCCAATTCTGACGATCCATCACTTCCTGGGCTAGTAACTGCTCACACAAATAAGAAATTCACACAAATGTTAAAATAGTTTTCATAAATAAATGTTAACATTACACTCCCTAAACAGAATAAAAGTTCAGGCTTCACACCTGCATATCTGAATTTGAAGTCACTTTAGGATTGTGTTTGTGACAAATGCATAAGTATAAAAATGTCAAATTTTACTTCTGGGACTACCATTTACCAAACAAAAAACAGGAACTTAGTCCTATCTAGTGAAGCCTGCTTACAATGGACTAAACAAGAATGGAAATTTTACATGCCATATTGATCTTGATATTTCTTTGTTGCAGATATGAATCTGTTACTGAATACTAATGATCACACTGCACACAGCACAATGCAATTTCTGTTAAATATTAACCAAATTCAAAAATATTTAAAACAAAATTTTAGAGTTTTGATTTATTTCATGCCACATAATTATTCCATTGCACATTATGTTATTTTTTAAACATCTGAAGAAGCTTCCTTTTTACACTCACATAAAGTACCACTAATCTTGTAGTTGTACAGACATTAGTTTATAGGGCATCTACTGTAACAAACAATATGACATACAGAATTTAAAAAAAATTATATTGTACTTATAGCCACCTAAAATATAGTTACAAATTTTTACATTATAAATTTTTCTGTACACCGTTGTGTCCCATTCAGACCATGAAACATAACTTTGCAGATCATATTATGTAATATTTCTCATTACATTGTTACACCCAGGTCTTTGAATGCAGTAATGAATGAGCTTGTATGCCTTTTTAAGTACATGGTATCTGCTTTAAGACTTCAGCCACATAACATGTTTCACTGTACCTAACATTTCAGTGTCTGACTATAGTGTCCAAGTAATGGCAGAAACCATTAATAAGAAAAAACCCTATCTTTACAAAAAACGTAGTATATATACCTTGAAAGCCATCTATAAATAAATCTCACCTCTGCTTCTTTTCTGACCTGACACAGCTGATAATAGTCTGCCACATGAACTTTTGTTTCTTTTCTTTTTTGATGCAAACTGTGGTGTTTTAAATACAGGGCTCCTACAGTCACGCACATTTGAAGTAAAATCAGAATCTTCATTGTCTGCAGATGAGAAATGTGATTTTCTTGTTTCAAGTTCTTCATGCCACCAGTTTGGGCTGGATTCACCCAGATCTGAAATGTGTCAAAGTAATTTTGCAAATTATTTAACACTCAACATCTATGTATGATCTGGAGCTTTCACAATGATTAAGTATAATAAAATCTTATTGGGCTACCAGGCATGTCAGGTGGTTCAAAGGCTATCTCTCTGTATGATTAAGGAATGTGAAGTCTTTGACTATGGGTTCAAATCCCACATAGGGATACTGATGTTTGGGTTTTTCATCTCCATAATACCACAATTTAAGCATTCTGCCTTGGCTGTCCTCCAGCAGAGATAAAAACATGGTTTAAGTGTCCCAGAAATCACCATGTCTCTATGTACTCAGGAAATTCAAACAAAAACACTTGAAGAAAGACATCATGAGTTATGTATATTCTTCACTGTATTCCAAACTAGGCATGCAGTTAATTATTCTGCATTATCAAAAAAGGTATAATTTTATAATTCATACGTCCCTTAATAACCACCGTGAGGCAACAGGCCGCTGTAATAAAATAAGGGGCAATTCCGTACATATGGAATGTCCTATAGTCCTGAAACATGACGATCATACGTAACTGCATACTGATTATAAACAAATCAAAGTACGTGAGAATAAGTATTCTGTCGATATATTTTTTTCCACTATACATGAATATATCCAAATCAAGTGTTTATACAAAAGATAAACCTATTTGAATACAATTATTTTCATTGCCTGGTCTGTGAAATTTATATTTACTGACTTATTTTCTTACCTTCAATGTCATTTCTGAACAATTCATATAGGCTTACACTTTGGTCAGTATTTTCATGTAACTCAGTATCACCCATTAGAATTGACAGTCTATCTTTCCACAATTTTTACTATTCGGCGCCAGAAAACAAACATTAAAAACCATTCCACACATAACCTAAAACAAATTTAAACATTGTATCCAAAAACGAAAACGCGCGAATTTCAATATCCACGACTAATCGTGAGATGGCCGAGATTAAAAACCATTCCACACATACCTGAAGCAAATTTCAATATTGTATCCAAAAATCAAAACACACGAATTTCAATATCCACGACTAATCGAGATATGGTTAAAATTCAAGATTGCTGTTAAATTTTACATGACCGAAATGTGATAGTCACAGGTGATATGTTGTTACCAATGACCACGGATAAACTCCTTGGTTGTTCAGTTTACCTTCATATATGTTGGAGGTTTGTCCATGCACTAATTCAGATGAAAAAATCAACCAAAATTAAAATCTGAGTCCAAGAAGATTAAAATCTGTTATTCCCATATGATACAGCAAATTTCTTTCATTGTATCAAAGAAAATTAATTCTGGCTCAAATAAGAATTTGTTACATCATTGTAAAATGTAATATTTAAGGAAACTTCATGAACAAATGATTATAAATGTACTGAGACAATTCGATCAATGAAGTCACTATGTTATATTACTGTGCCTGAATTCTGGCAGGGGAAGGGGTTCCATATGAGTCCTGGGGTTTACCTAGCATATTCAATCCAAACTCACCTTGAGTAAATAAGTTAATGCATGAAGCTGACACACCTTCTTGCACAAATAACACCCATTCACATATGTAGTATTACCTTCATTCACCCTTTAAATCTTCATTTGCTCAGGCATAGAAATAACTCAACTTCCATTTTTTTATGTTTTTATTCATTTCTCACTGCATGATATTTAATAACACTTCTGACAGTATACATTACATACAATTATTTTGAATGATGAACTGGGATGTGAAACAAACCTGCAGCAGATTGTTAAAGGTATTATCACAAATACACAAACATGACAAAAGGTAAGAGATTACAGATTTATATAATTTACATATTGCATGCCCCACTTAATGGTACCTGCACCTTGACGTGGTGGTGGGGCTTGAGTATCTCAGTGATCCCAAGAGCTATGCTGGCGGTAGCATAGCTACTGGTAGGGCCTCCCTAGCCAGATTGGTCGAGGGGGAGAGGTGAGACTAAGACAGGTACCCTGGTCCTCCAGGTTGGGGGTTGGTCGCAAGGCTAACAACCTTGCACTGTAAAAAGGAAGATGTTTTGAAACCTCAATCAAAGCCTCAGACAGACGGACCCAACAGAGGACCGAATGGAAGAGGAGAATTGAGGAGGCCATGGACCGAATACGGACCAGAGAGCCATAGAAGAAGAAGAAGACATATTGCATGTACTTAAAAAAACTGCTAAATTTTGTAACATTATCAACATATGAAGTAATTTCCTATTCACCAGTAAACTTCAAAAGCATATGAAATCAGTACAACCACAGTGATTACATAATGTTGTAGAAATGCTAGTAAACATTTCAAATATCAAAAATTAAAGCCTAGTCACAGGTGATATGACAAGTTTCATTTGACTGTCATAACAAAAGTGCATAAAGAAAAACTATACTGTGTATATACAAATGAAGTAGGTATGGCCACTCTTTAAATGAAACACCTGTATTTTCCTTGGTGTTTAACACTACAATTGCAGCCTTCAATAATTAAATACTTCAACTAATCAAATATGAAGCCATAATTCATTTTAAACAATTTCTGTTGCTATCCTACTTAACCTGAATGTAATTTTACGCTCCTCTCTCAAACAAGAAATGAAATTCAGAAAGTACAACCACCTTAAATACTACATGGTGTCACAACCCAGCAGACTACAATCAACAGAAATAAACTATCAAAACTCAATCCAGTCAGAAGTGTCTTATGTATATCACATTCCTCAATTTACAATTTTCTTCAAATAGTACTGCAATATTTATTTGCGGTAAAATACAAAGGGGACACCATATCATGATCCTCCCATATATCAAAATATTTGGTAAATGTAGCTCTGTAAAACTTGGCAATTGAAAACATCATCTCAGCTATAATTTGGCTGGTTATTTAGATCCTGAGGAGTACAAGTACCTCTAGAACAGAAAGAACTTAACTAATTTTAATCATTGCATTCACTGATGTGGTATATACAAAATTACAGTTAATATTTCAAAGCCATTTTATACTAAATTTAATTAAATTTTGAATATGTCAATCACAAAATATTAATTGCCAGCTCAGCTACCCTGCTTGTTCACTTTGTCATCACAATTATAGTAGCTTGTGCTAGGACACAATACTGTTCAAATGTGTTTGTGAGTTCACATAGAACTACAAAGACCTTCCAGCAGCCACCATCTTATCACCAGGTTAGTAATAGCTGTTCCTACATAAGTGGACTCCATGAAGTCCATACCCGTACAAATCCACTTCCTGATTAAAGTCCTCCTTGTGCATCTATGCAAGAAACTGACGTTAATATGATACATTAACATCACAATCAACTAAAAACATCTTTAACATTATTGATTCCAGTAGTGCAACCAGAGAACTTGAATAATGTGTTAACTCTTTTAGGTCCTCTGTTGAAGTGTGTGACAGTCAAGAAAATTACAGGACAGCTCAATGTCAGATTCAGTCCAACAATCTTTTTACATTATAATACATAAGGAAGAAGCAGAAAGAGAAAATGACAAAAACAGAGGGAAATTTCTGTCCCAGTGGTTTGTTATGTATTGAAAGAAACAATTAGTCACACTGTTTTAAACTTCTAACAAAATAAGGTAAATTTGATTTAGTCAAAAACAGTATGTAAAAACAATATGGATCTCATAAGTCAATCTAAAGGTTCTAGATATGGAGATGTAATTAATTTGCTTGAGGTTAACTGATAGGATGATAATGAATCAGAAAAGATATGAAAGAAAGTGGCTACGGCCTAATTTAACACAACATTCCTAAATTTTTCTAAGGGGACTGGATATGCTGAATTGAGATTTGAACCTGAAACTTCCTGAATATGAAGCAGGCATGCCAACAGTCAGTCCTGATGTCTGATAACAGACACTTAATATACTGCTATAACATTTAAAAAATTATAAAAAATGAATGGATATTTGGTGCAATTTGAAATTAACTAATGCAGCAGGTGTCCTCATCCTTCAGTACACCAGTGTGTTTTGTGCAGCCCGTGATTCTGGTAATTGTGAGTCACCCTTCATGATAAAAAGATCGTTACCTGACACAGAAAACACATCCTGCAAAACACAAATGCAACGATAGTGAGTCTAGACAGCAGTAATATCAGTAAAAGTGAAAATATTTCAATTAATAGCAAAGAAAATACAATGTCAGGTAAGAGAAAATGCCTTCTCTATTAGATAACAGGTTTCATGAAAAGATCAGTCAAATCAGTTTAAAAAGTTAAATGTTATCACTATCCTTGAATAAAATATTACAGACTTGTAATTTAGTTCAGTATGGTTCTTTTTCTTTCTGTAAGATACAGACAAACACATCACTTTCTTTGTTGAAGGAAACTACTGAACAGTTTTGATGCCAAGGTTTTCAGGTCCTCTAAAGTATCTTCAGTATCCTTTTCTTTACTTTTCTCTGCCTTTCCTTCAAAATCTTTCCTTTTGGTCCTCTCTGCATCATGTTTATCTTTCATGGCTGCCACATTTTTCTGAGTTTCCAAATTGTTTTCATTTCTAGTTTCTCTATCGTCTTTGCAATCTTTAACATTCTTCTCTTTCTGCTCTTTACCTTCATTGCTTTTTATCTTACTTTTCTTTTCCTTGTGTTTCTTCTTTGTTTTATGTTTACTCTTAATTTCAGGACTCATTGCTTCCTGCAGAGAATTTGTGGAATTTTCATTCACCATTTTTGCTTTAACAGGGGATACCTTTGGCATCCATGCTGGTATTTCTGAATCTCCTGCGGGAGACTTCAGACTCTGTAACACACGACTATGTTCTGGAAGTATCACACTGGTATTAATGAGTTCTCCTTCACTGCCTGAGCCATGACCTTTATCACTTGTTGGTGTTTTTAAGATGTGTGTAACACCACTCAAAACCTGTACAGTCTTGTTTTTTGTTTCAGGTGAATTTACTGCACTCTGTTGCTTTAAATCTTTCCTTTCTGATGCCTTGCTTGAAGAAGGTGATAATGTATAAAGAGAGACATCACTGGCTATTCTTTTTGACATGCTCTTACTTGGTGTTTTTCCTGGACTGGCCACTTCTTTTGGAAATGAAAGACTGAAGTTAGATCCAGTTATTTCTTCTGGGTTAACCACATTCTCTGCTGGATTAGAACTGCCACTCTGTAGAGAAGTGGCAACTTCATTTTCAGTAGGGTCTTTCTCAGGTGTTAGTAATACGCCATTTTCATAAATCGTTACTGCCTTCCTTACCTTTTTCCCAGAATCAGACTTTCTTGGCAATGCAGTAACAGGCGATGATGACTTAGGAAACTCATTCAAGCTCTCAATACTTCTGCTCCTCACAATTTCATGCCCAACAGACCTGTCAGCTTCTTGGTATGAATGAGATAATGACAGTACAGGTAGAGACCTCTGCAGAGGCATGGCATCACCTTTACCTCTGTTCATTTTCTTACGTTTTCGATCTTGAGCATTGGCCATGCCTGCTCCTGTGATAGAGAAGGAACTTCTGAAACTTGTATTTGAAGTGGTATTACCTATAGATTTTTTGTTTTCTGTGTCTACAGCATCCTCCATGGAACTCTGGCATGCATCTGAATGACTGTCTCTTTCAACCCCTTCACTGTGATCAAACTTAGACATGTACTCTGCTAACATAGCTGCTGGATCAAAAGAGACTGAAGCCTTGTTCTTACATTTTTTTGTTTTATGTTTTTTTTTATTTCTGTGTGAGCTAACATTCACATTATCAGGTTCTTTTTCTACCTCATGCAAAACTGCTGAAACATGACTGCCATGTTCATCACTTTTAGTCCCATCATGGCTATCACTATGACCATTACTGTAACCCAATACATTTTTCAAAAGAGTAGTTGCATTAATAGATTCCACACCTTTGTTTTCAGATACTTTAATTTTATTTTGTATTTCATTACTATCCAGTCCATCTGTTACACCAGAATGTGTCTTAGAACTGTCCTTCAGTGTGGATTTTTCATTATTGGCATTCTTATCCAATTTTAAATGATCCTGTTTCGTACCGTTACTGTAATCAACACCACAAGGAGGTTTACTGAAAGTTTTGGGTTCATCTGAGATTCCTGAATGTTTTTTATTTCCTTTTTCCTTCTTATGTTTCTTGGATGACTTGACGTTTAACATACTCTTTACCCTGTTTAACAAGTCCACAACACTTGGAACTGACATATCCTGTTTTTCATCTCCATTTCCAGGAAGGGAGCCCAAACTTTGTTCTCCTACAGATTTCTCAACGCCTACTAATGATTCTTCTTTGGAAACAGACTTCAGCCTTTTGGTTTGGTCATCCAGTAATTCCTTATTGTGTGAATCACAAGCCTTCCTTTGTTTCTTTTTTTCCTTATCATTTTGATGTCTGTTATCAGAGCTACTTTCCAGATCATTTCCTAACAAATATTTCTGTGATGCATCAGATTCCTTAGCCTTATTTTGATCAAGTGATTCACTAGTACATGAATCATGTTTCTTCACTTTTTTCTTCTTTGCTTTTGGGTGAAAGTCATTAACATTAAAGTTGGTTTTCTGACGATTAGTTCCAGGAAATGCATCAATGCCTGATGTACAAACAGAACCACTGCTGGAAGTATGCAAATTATCCTGTGTTGAAAATGATGGCAAAGTAAAACTCTCTTCCAGTTGTTTGGCAACAGCCTCATACGCTACATCTGTCATTAGGCCTGGAATCTCTCCAACAATATTTTCTTCCTGTTTCTTTTTCTTTTTCTTCTTTGCATGATCAGGAAAATGCACCACTTCATCTCCATTACCTTCATATGCATGTTCAAGAACTTCAGTCAGTTCAGTTGCAGTTTCCTTGCCATCACTTGTAACTGAATGTAACTTATGTTTTTTCTTCTTTTTCTTCTTGTATGCCTCTGAGTCAATATCTCCCTCTGGTTCTTTCAGGTAAGTCTCTTTCAGATCTTCCAGAATAGTGCCATACTCAACATCTTCAGAAGACAAATGAGTGAAGTGCAATTCCTCACTTTCTGGAGTCTCATGATAAACTGATTTATAACCTTCAAGTTTCTTTTTCTTCTTTTTTTCTGTAGCTGCTTCTCCTTCATCCTCCAAGTGCCTTTTCCTTTTCTTTTGCTGTGTTTCCACTACTGGCTCTATCTTCCCCTGTTCCAAATTTTCAGCCATCAGTTCACATTCATCATGTTCTGATAAGTCACTCTCCTTGTGCTTATTCTTTTTATTTTTCTTCTTCTTCCTTTTTGGTTCGGATATTCTGTCCACCTCATCTTCCTCCAGTGATGTTACATTTGCAGGCCTGTAAGAAATAGTAAGGAATCATAAGCAACAGCACTCCTTTGTCAACAAGAAGGAGAGGTTATGTACCTGAAAGACAACCATGTTGCCTGTTCCTAAAATAAACAATACAGTAACAGCATTATACAAAATACTTTCCTAATATTGTACCATACCAAAGGTGCTACAATGTAAAGCTGATCACTTCCCTCTGTCTACTGCACAGATAAACTCTGTGGAGCTTTACCTTCACTTACCAATATACTTTCAGAGTGTGATGTTTAGAAACAGGGACAATTTTATATTTACCATTTATGTTTTGGAAAGTGAATAACAATCCTTTATTGTAATCCTGTTAATCAGCTTTCTTCAACCACTTCCTTAGAGTCACTTTGCAGCACTACGATAAAACTACACAGACCACTAGAACAAGTGATCAGCAAAGTCTAAACATGATTTCCATTTGGCTTCCACTGCTATGAGAAAGAAGGTAACTAAATGTGTAACATAAGCTGAGTTATAACAAACCCATTTCTATGTGGACATCATTGTCTAGTGGTAGTAAAGTTTCACACATTAACTAGACTGAAATGAATGGTCAGCAATACACTCTGGCTACTTTACCCTGAATATGCACCCAGTACCTATTGGACAAGACAATAAGTGAACCCCAGAGGTGGTCTGAACATGGCAGCAAAGACCTACCCATCCCATGAATCACATTTCAGTTGTCCATCCCCTAGCTAGTCACTTTAGCAACCAAACTATATGGCTCATTTTATTATATGTGTATGTTGCATAAATGAATACCTTGAATCTATTAATTTCCCTCGAATGTATGGAAGGCTTCCTGTGAAATCACACATCTCCACTCTGAAAGTCACCTGGTCTCCAATTCTCACTGAAGTACCAAGCCACTCATCTGTCTCCTCAGTGGATTGTGGAATAGACACATGAAAGCACTTGTGTACCAAGCAACCGATGTGGTCCACACTTTTCTTGTTTACAATACCTAAACACAAATTAAATATTTTCAATATGTCCACTGATATAATTTGATAGCTGCAAGGTATCTGATCATTCAGAAGAAACAAGTTAGTTCAATAGGTGTGAAATCACTGGAAGAAAATTCAGAAGTGTTTCAATATTGGACAATAGATATTTTATTCTTAAATATAAATTTTGTGGTTTAAAAGTTATACTTAAAAATCCATAGACAACTTCCTTCAGAGAGGAAGTAAAGCCAGCGAACCCATGTCATAGATTTACGGCATGTAAAGAACTTTACAAGCATGAACAAGCTGTTTCGTAAGCAAAATTCAGCAGATATTTTTCACCCACACCTCTTCTGATTCGCTACTGGATGGCTCTAGTATACAAATAAGGAATGAGTAGAAATTGTTTGGAGGCAGCAGGCTTGACACCTGTTACTCCAAGGAACTAAAAAGACTAATAAGACAAGTTGCATTGAGAAACTATCCAGAATCTACCAAGGCCCAATCCTTAATAGGAGTTGATGAAAAATTTATACTTAAAGCTTCTAATGAATTACATACAAGTATAATGAGAAGAAAAGTCAAATAGTATGCCAAGGAATTACTTTTTAATAATGAGCAAGAAGGGCAATGGATACATCATACGTTCTTTGCATTAAGTGTGTAAAATGAATACATGACAAGGTATATCTGTCTATCCCCATCATGTTTCAGCTACAAATCTACTGAATACACTTGATCAAATTTGATACTGAGTACCTACACCAAAATTTGTCAGATAAATTTGAATTTGATTCATGTTGATCCAATATAACTCATCAGACAACTTCTGTGTAAAAAGGGTTGTAATATGGTGTATATTCATAAAAATAATACATAACTTTATAGAACAGATTCGTATCTGTAATAAATTAATATCAACAGCTATGAGGTATACACATTTGCAAAGAATGTTTTTCAAATATAATTATAATTCCCAAGTAACTAAACTGTGACAGATCCTAAAGTACTTAACAGTTATTCTACTACAGTCATCAAAATGATAGTTCCTAGGACACATAGTCTATACATTTATTCATTGGGCAGTGAGTCATTAATGTTTCCAGCACAGGAGCAAATTATACAATTTAAACTACAAAATTTGCTATGAAATTAAAGCTACTGAAAATTTACTTACCAAATAATGTACACCCTATTTCTGGTGTAAAAATATAAAACTCAGCTTCAATATCAAGATGCATGTAACAATCATCATTTATTATTGTTGCTCTGTCTGTGATTATTTTCACATTTTTGTAACCCAAGATAAATCCATTGAAGCTGCAATGTATTACAAACGATTAATTTAAAAACTGTGAATACATTTTTAACAATGAAAACTACAAAAAACCATTGATATACTAATTATGCCATCTTCATACACATTTCTCATAAGCATTGTAGACAAGTACCATGATTTATATCCAAAAATCCATAATTATGTACATTTACATAAAATTATTACATGAATAAATTTAAATTTCCCTACTTTTGTACTTGCATTATGTGGAAGGACAAACAATAGCATACTAGGACCACTCATCTGTCCTATGAGGCCCAAACAGACAAAATTTACAATAAGATTTGGCACAACTAACAGCACTGCGATTAGAGGTATACTAAGTAGTAATTAAGACAGTCTCAAGTGTGTGACAAGAGATAATGCATAGCAATGGTAAATCCTGGTCTAGAATTCAGGTCATATCTTGACAGACTGTCCTCACATAAATCCTTGCCACCCTCAAATTAAACAGAAAGGGTGAACATGGCCCAAGATCTAATGCATGCTTTTGTTTTATTCAAAATCCACAACTCATTTAAAATATTAGTCATGGCATTACTTCACAGCCCACCTTTATGGATCTCAGTACTAGACAGAGGTAAGTGGTTAACATCAATATCCACCTGCTTTACACTCAGCAAAATACATACTACTGGATAGGAGGTTGTGTGAAGCCTGGAAGTGATGCCAAGGAGTAAAAGGAGAAAAATAAGTTAAAATGTGAGAAGAAACAATGGCTTTACTTTACTAGAACATGTTAAACCCTTTGGTAAGCAAAATCAACATACTTAACTGTCATCATATTGCATAGAGAAAAGGGAGAAGAGAACATGAAATGAATATATACTGCGGCTTCAAGTATCAAATTAGATAAATACGTTTGTTGGATAATGCTACGATTTTTTCCGGATACCTTCATAATAACCTTTAATAATTAATGAGACAAACACATGGAAATGATTAAACTACTCGTTTCAGTCATGTGAATGTTTCGGGGCAGATGACCAAGTTCGGAATTATAATAGACATCGAACATCGCACTCAACACTTCCCCGTAAACCTCCCAGCTTAAACAATGAACAATGCCGAGCACATGGTTATTCCGAAACAGTGTCTTTTTCCTTCCTGACATCTGTTGCAGCAAAAAGTAAAGAACACCAAGAACAGTTTGTATAACCTAACCTAAACAACAACTCAACAAAAACCACACAAATAGTAAATGATATTCCATATCAGAAAACTCTTTCTTATCGACTTACTCGACATCAAACTTGTTTTGATACGAGTTAAATATCCCATTAACAGCAGACTTTAAATCTCGAAGACAATTTGGAAGCATTGCAATGTGACGGATTCTCCTCTCAACATGGACACAAGATGCAGACACAGTCACCAATCGCTGCAATTCCTTTACACTGAAGAGTACAACAGATCGAGATTTCATTCTCATATTACACAATCGATCCGTTTCTGGTGACAATTATATTAGAATTAGGTAATATTTAAAATGTTATGCACGAACGAACAAACGCAGATTACGATTCATAACACACGAAATTTTGCTTACAACCATAACTCTCACATTCACACATCTACTAGCGCTACTGGTGTTCATTCACAACAAGAATTAATTAACTGATCAGTGTCGCCAATGTATCACGTACCAAAAATTTTCTCTGGAAGATATCTAATTTAAATGTTAACGAAAGAAAACAGGAAAACTACTAAATACTAAGGCGGAAAGAGTACAATATTCGTTTCTATTTTCTTCGTCGAAGACACAAGGAACAAGAGATATAGATGCCATGGTTAATAGAGCGTAGACAGAATCAAATCTCAAACAC